TAAAGATAGACAAAAGATAAATTAAATAAAAAGTTCTTTTAACTTTTCTAGTGAATATTTCTAACGAAATATCTGCTCATGGTTATATACAGTATTATGTCTATAAAACTTACCCATGGTTATAACAGTATTATGTCTATAAAAATTACCCATGAAATTTATATTTTGCATTGATTGAATAATGTAATTATTATTTCTCAAAATACCTTTAAAATTAAAAATAAGACATAGAATCTGTTTGCGCCGTGGCTATCCCATTTTACCCTGCCTTTAAAAAGAAACAGATGGCAAATTTAAAAAAATAGTACGTTTCAATAATTAGAAATTAACTAGAAATCTTATTGAACATAGTAATTTGTTATATGCTGTATATGTTATATGTTGTAATAGGTACGTGTTATATTTATTTGGTTTAGACCGTATAATTACTTACAGTCAAATTGGACTTTTGTGCCCCATCAATTCAAAAAGTGCTAACAGTAATTCAGAACTCATATTACTATAGTGCTTATTTTCCTCTGAAAACTTCTTCTCGGTTCTATTATGTGCGATGATTATTTATTAAAGAGGAAATTGCTAGTTATTTCTAAATTGATTGTTTTTTTTTATCAAATCATAGATAAAGTGCATTATGAAAAGTGTCCCGCATTGTATACATATCGCTTTATTATGGCACCAATCAAACGCAATTAAATAAAACGGGAACAGCTATGGCACGAGCCGTATATTCTACACAGCTTCTCATTTATAATAAGACTGATAGCAGGAGTGTATCTGGAGTTTTATGTACTAATTAAATATTCAAAAGGAACAAACTGACCAAGGCGTGATATAAAACGACTGGTTTTTATTTTGATTTATTTATTTGAAATATTTAGTATTTTTATTTTTTATTTTATTTTATTATTTTACCATAGAATACCTAACTCTCTACATATCATAATAAAATCGATAATTTTTTTGCCTGGTGCTTTGTCATTTTCGTTTATAAAAACATGTAATTGGTATCCTTTTACTTTAATACATTTTTTGCAGTACGTAATTTTTTAAAAGTATTGTTGTTGATTCATAATCTTGATTCACAAGACGAGATTTTTTTTCATATAATTACAATCTGCCTGCAAAGGCACTCAGTAATTTTGGTGACTATGTGGAAAGATAATATTGCAAAATATGCTACCCTATGGTAGTCATTTTAAGTTTGAAAAGAAGATGGGAAGAAGATACAGAAAAAATAGTAATTAGTCAAAATTACATGTTTATTGTACTATTTCTAGCGGGTTTGTTCTTTAAGTGTTCTGGGATGTTTGAGAAAAGTAAATCAAGACGAGTTATAATATTTAATTGATTAGAACGGAAAAGCTAAATATTGCTATCTATATTATTACATAGTAAATTAAACTAGTGGTGCATGGTATCGTGCCCTAAAACAAATTGTTGGAACTTCTCACATCAAAAATTAAAATTTTCTAAGAAGATTTAATATTTTTTAAAACATTGAACAAATTATATCTTTGAGAACTTCGAAATTTTTGAAAAAAATTGACTTTTTTGAAAAATTTGTTTTTTTTTTATGTTTCGATTTTTTTTGAATATTCTGATATTTTTAAGAAGCAATCGCGCGGCATAGCTGTTTTGTTTGAAATATCGAAGCACGTAAGCGTCACTTTTCAATCTAACATAAACATTAGTACGAACCCAAGAAAATAGAAACAAAATTTGTACTTATTATTAAAATATTTATAAAATATCTGTTAATTTCATGTGCTTATGTGTAAGAATCAAGTTTGATCGACAAATGCCAATTTTGGAAATAAATAAAATGTTTTTTGAATCATCCAAATCGGACGCTTCGTTATCTCAAAAACTAAGTTACTAATTTTGACACTTTTTACACTGTACCTTCGAAATGGCTGAATCCTGCCTTTGCTAATAACTTATCAGCATCCGTATTTTCAACAATACAAATCAAATGTTTTTTTAAATAATTCAAATCGGTTGATCGGTGTTCTCAAAATCGTCCACTAAATTCGCATCCGAACACACACACACACACACACATCAATTTTATCTAAGGTATGCCAAAATGTTCAGAAACCTTTAAAACGTGAAGATATATATAAAAAAAATGATTTCCGATTTTAGACGATTGCTATAATTTACCCTACTGCTGTAAATTAATTAAATATAATATTACCAACAATTGTTATAGAACTGAGTCTAAAATTTAGCTTAAATCTTAAATTGTTAATACATGAATTAGTAAAAAACTAGTGGGATGTATGGCATCGTGCCTTAAGGCAAATTGCTGGAACTTTCCATATCGTAACGAAATGTTCGAGGAATATTGAATGTTTTCAAATCGATTATTATAAATATTGTAACATTGTCTAATATTTATAAGAATTATATAAACTGAATTGCAAAGTTAAACTTATTTGTTTAAAGTATATTAGAACTATAGTCATAATTAAAAATAAAATCTGAATTATTTTCGATATACAAAAAAATTTTTTTTTTGAAAAAAAAAAGTTGAAACAAAATTTTTTTTTCCAAAATCAATTATTTTGTTAAGACAAGCAGAAAGTTCTTTGAATCATTTAAATCGGACGCTTAGTTCTCTCAAAAACTGCCATTTTTTACACATTTAGCTCCGTATCTTCGAAATGGCTGGGCCTGCCTTTGCCAAAAACTAATAAACACTTCTGCCAATACTCAATTACTAATTGAATGTTTTTTAGATCATTCAAATCAGATGTTCCGTTCTCTCAAAAACTCGAATTCTATTTTCTGCACTCTTTGCTCTTTATCTCAGTAATTGCTAGACCTGCCTTTGCCAAAAACTAATCAGCTCATCTCCCTATCAATAGGAATCGAATGTTTTTTAAACCATTCAAATCGGTTGATCCGTGCGCCCGAAAACGTGACGGGAAATTTGTATCCATACATACATACACACACACATCCATTTTTTCTGAGGTATGCCAAAATGTTCAGAAAACTTCAAAAGTGTCGAGAAATGTAAAAATTTTCAATTTCGATTTTTGGACGATTACAATAACTTACCTTACGAAAAGTTAATAATGACTATATGAATTAATTTAATAAGAAAGAGAAAACAAAATGAATACGGCATAGTATTCAACAAGTGGCATTTAAAATAACATGTTAGCAATAGAATATTAGTAAAATATTACAATAGTGCACAAATTTAGCGGATAAGACACGAAATTGATTAATCATTTCGATGTTTAAAATCATTTTTAAAATGTGTTTGTAATTCGCATACACCACTGTTTTTCTCTAAATGTATGTACATCTTTGCATCCTGGCGGTGTTGTGCCGCCGTCAGTTACAATCGCTAAGCCAAGAGCAGCAGACGAACGGAGTCGATTCATCCACGATCGGTTGGTTCATTATGATGATCTACAGCCGCAGAACGTCATTCTAGTAGATCAAAGTTGTTAATCAATTATTACTTTCCTAAATATTTGTGATTATAGAGTGTTGTGAGGTGCTAAGAAGTCATAGGTGTTAGTGAATATCGTGCTGTGAGATTTGTGGTCAAATGTTGACACATTTTGTTGAAAATTAGTAACATAATCAATTTAAATGTGTATTCGCAGTTTGATCTATTTGTAAACGATTTATAAATTTTATAAAATAATAGGTCAGTTTTTGTTGATGAAGTTAATATTATCATTTAATTGAAAGTTAATACCTTTTTTGTAATACATTATTATTCAAGAAAATTATATTATGAGCATTGCATTAGGGTTTTATTTGATAAATATCAATCGCGATTACTAATGAAATAATGCAATACAATGGTCCATGTTTTCATTTTCATTTTTTTTTTTTAATTCGACAAAATAAACGATTCGCTTAAGGTTGTTTAAGTGAACTAAAAAATTACGTAAAAAACATTTTATTTTCTGACAAATATGTATTAGCATTACTTGTTCAGAATTCTATATTAAGCGGGTCCTGACAGTGAGAGAATAGTTTCAAACTGATTTTCTATTTTGGTATCGCGCGGAAAGCGTGCCGTGCATGTGCTCAGTTCTGACATTTACGCAGGACAACTGTGCCGTTTTGTTACTTATATCCATTATGTGTACAGCCGCAGGTTTGTTTTCCGATTTACTTCGCTTTTTTCAAGTGATTATGCTGATGATTATTTTTATTCATTGAACGAACATTTAAAGAATTTGCTTACAATATTAAAGAATGGCTCTGTAAACTAGTTGGACGTTTCTAATTTATTATATAAGCATACTATTTAATGAATTTATTTTAAGCAATATTAATAAATTAATTAATAGATATTAAAAGGTGTCAGATTGTGCTTAAAATATCTTTGCAAGCCGGCCACTAGTTGACATGACAGCTGTTAACAATGGTTTGAATTATTTTTGAGATTTTAAAAATTTAATTTTTTCATATGCATATTTAAATATCGCGAAAGGTCATGCATTTGGACTTGCGATGAAACTACATGATTGATTTTTTAATTTCCTCCTTGTAATACTTTTGCTTTCTTTTGTTTATCAATAGCTTATAGTATACTGAAGGTAATTCTTCGATGATCTAAACTCAACACATTATTTAACATTGGTGAAAGCACTACCTGATATTTTAAAAAATTAGATTTTGCGATATCATAATTGCCCATGCAAATAACAAAGCTGTCAATTAAAAGCAAAAGCTCATTTGATAATAAGAACAAGAGAATAGTTCCAAAAATCATAGTTTTGAAACTCTATTATATTATAAATTATGATAGAAAAATAAATACAATATTAAATACAGCTAAGAACCGGTTCTGTAAAAGACTTCTCAAAAAATTATTATATATATATTTGCAGACTGAAATTTAATGATGTTCATGCGATACCATTTCACGCCCGCAAATAATTTATATATCATGTTTAAAATATGCAAACAATAACTTATTTTTTGGATGACGAATATACATTTTGCATTTCTTTTCGATTCAGATCGTTGTGCGTACGTGCAGTTGAGGTGATGCGCCATATCGCGTAGGTTCGGCCAGTTAGTAGAGGCATTCGATGCTTTGATGGTGCATCGAGTACAACAACTTGTCTTTTGTCATTATATGATTGCATAAGAGTGAATGTGCTCGATTTAGCTCATTTTAATAATCAAATTATGTGCTCGGGATGACGAGACGATAGTATGGCTTCAGCCACATTGCAATCGGCGACACTAGTCCAAAGGCACCAGAGAATCACGATGGGATTCACGGAAGCTGCCGCACCTGTTGATGTCAACGTTTACCGCAGTCATGGGCCACCAGCCCCTCCTGGCTTAAATTGGCTTTACTTACAAATTCCTGATGGTAGGGCACCTGCCGTCAATCTTCCGGAATCACAAATTGTGGTAAGTTTAATAAAGTACTTTAATCTTCTACAGTTCATTTTATTTTTCAGCTGACAATTCTATTCCTATTTTTATCTTTTCACGGGTTTATTGGTTTACATAACAAATGCTGATTTTTCCAGATGTGAACAACTTTTATTAATTCGTTACGACAGCCACGCCCAACGTTTTAAAACAATTTGAGTTTTAGGGGGTTACACCACTGTAGCTGTAAAAAAAAACGTATGTTTTTGCCATTTTTTTCGGATGTAAGAAAAAGTATTAAAATCATGATATTAAAGATAGTTATTTATTGTACTTTAAAGTAACAAAATAAAATATAATTGTAAAAAAATGACATATAAAAGATCTCCTATGATAAAAATGTAATTTTAAATATACTGGTGTGCCACAGATTTTGACGCGGCTCGCCGAAATGGCTGTGGTACCGCAATTTTAAAATTATTTTTTTTACAATTATATTTTATTTTTGTTACTTTTTTTAATATCATGGTTTTAATACTTTTCCTTCTGTCCGAAAAAAATGGCAAAAACATACGTTTTTTTACTGCTACAGTGGTGTAACCCCTTGAGTTAAAAAATCTACTAAATTGTCCTAACATCTCAAATCTGGAAGCACCTACTTACGTTTCAACTTTCCGAAGGATGTGTATGCATGCAGATTGTATGTTTTCCGCCATAAAATCTGATTTGATAATTTTGTTTCCTCGACATCAGACCTGTTGAACCGTTTAACACCAAAATGCGAAAAAGTATGTGCTTGTGTTTAGGTACCATTAATCGACTCAAAATCAGATGCGCATATTTAAAAAATGTAAGTCTATGAAAGTTGACAATTACTCGCATTGATTAGTTTTTCGTATCGATATCGATAATTGCAAAATATTTTGCCTGCGCTTTAGTCTAAAGTTCTAAAGCGATTTTAAAAATGTGAAGATAGTTCGAAAGATATCAATTGGTGAGCGTGCTGGCTGGTTTTAGGTAAAGATCTGACGAGCCGTCTCCTCGTAATCAATCGTTGATTTTTTACAATTTAAATTGTATTTGTATCAATTCAGTTTATGTTCTTAATAAACATTCGAAAATATTATAGGCCTACAAAAACTGGTTTAATTATAAAAAATTATAATGCTGTGTCAAAATTTCAGAATTCCAACAATTGCGTTAGAATATCTGCCACATACACTTAAAAATATTTATTTCAAAAATTCTATTATATATCAAATGTAAACATACAATTAAATCTACAAAGTAGAACCTTTTTCAGAATTTGCAGCATTTTGCATAAAAAATATTTCATACTTTGCTATGGCTAATAACTTTTAAATTCGGTATGCTAGATAATTTCAATAAAAAAATATAATGTAGAGTATTCACAAAAAATGTGAATTATGTTCTGCACTAATCCAAACTAAGTCTATTTGTGATATATCTAAATTTGGAATTATGTATACTCGGTAGATGTTCATTTCGATACAAGATCATCATAGCCTTTGTTTATTATAGCGCGTTTCAATATCTATTTTTAAGATGTATATGTTTGACTTAGTCTTGAAACTGTATATGAACATTTTCTTAAAATTTCTTTTTCAAAATCTATTGCATTATAAAGGCTAAAGAGATTTTTGTCAGTTTATTGACAAAAAATTGCGAATTGGATGAATGTTACTGTTGTGTGTTTTTTGACCGATGCCTCCAAACTTCTACTTTTTTTAAATTTATTATTTTATTCCAGCTTAACGGCCTAGAAATACATCAATACCTTAATCTTACCTTACGCCTACTTTAACTTAAAACCCGCTGATTAATATAAACAAAGACCTAATCTAGTAACTTTAGCGTTCTAGACTGGTTCCCCAAGTAACTCTTTTTTCTTTGTTTTCTTCATGCTCTAAACATCTCTGCATTTAAAGGACATCCTGCGATTACTTCAAAGTGACTATAATGTTATATTTCACATGTTTAATGTTATTAACTTTCCGTAGGGTAAGTTATTGTAATAGTTCAAAAATCGAAATTGAAATTTTTTCATTTCTTCACGTTTTGACCGGTTCTAAACATTTTGGCATACCTTAGGGAAAATGAATGTGTGTGTGTTTTCGTTCACGTTTTCGGGCGCACGGATCAACCGATTTGAATAGTGCAGAAACACTCGATTCCTATTGATATCAACCCAAGGGAGATGTGCTGATTAGTTTTTGGTAAAAGTCGGTCCAGCCGTTTCGGGGATACGAAGTAAAGGATGCAGAAAATAGAAATCGAGATTTCTATTAAATCTTTTTTTCAAAGTTTTTTTTTTGTATATCGAAAATAATTCAGATTTTAATTTTAATTATGGCTAAAGTTCTAAAGCTCATTTATATACTTCAAAAAATAATTTTAACATTGTAATTCAATTTATATAATTCTTATAATATTAAACAATGCTACAGCATTTATAATAATCTATTTGAAAAATTCAAAATTCTTCCACCATTTCGTTACGGTACGGGAAGTTCCAGCAATTTGCCTTACGGGACGATGCCATACACAACTAGTTAACTTCCTGTAGGGTAAGTTATTGTAATAGTCCAAAAATCGAAATTGAAAATTTTTACATTTCTTCACGTTTTGAAGGTTTCTGAACATTTTGGCATACCTCAGAAAAAATGGATGTGTGTGTATGTATGTATGTATGGATACAATTTTTTGTCCACGTTTTTGGGCGCACGGATCAACCGATTTGAATGGTTCAAAAACATTCGATTCTTATTTGTAGGGAGATGTGCTGATTACTTTTTGGTTTCGGAGATATGAAGCAGAGAGTGTAGACCAGTGTTTCCCAACGTGGGGCGCACGCCTCACCGGTAATTTGTAATTTTGAAATTTGAAATTTGTAATTTCAGGAGCGCGATTTTAATGTAATGTAGTATTTAACAAAAAAATGCTTCTTAGATTTAATTAATAATAAGGTGTCCTAGTTTTCAACCTTGCGTTCCTGGTGCCGCACTCGAGTTAAGTTTTTTCTGCCGGGTTGATCTGACTTTTTAGAAAGATTAGCTTGATTTTGAATATTTCTCATTATTTTATAATAAAATTAAAACTACTCATAATAATCTGAAAGTGATATATGCGATAAACTGCTTATATAAAACTAAACATTATGAAAGAGAATGTTGCGGAATGCAAAAATTCTTTAGGTTCAAATATTCCTTCACTAATTATTTCAAACTTCTAAATTCTAATTTACGAAAATTACCAATAAATAAGGTGACTGCTTGGCACAAGTGCTTTATTTTAAGGTCAGCGACAAGACTCGACTTGAAATATGCACAAGAAAAGTGATATTTAATTAGTTAATTGCGAACAAAGTTTTATACAAGACTTTAAAAGCGGAAAAATCGTAAATATGACATGAGTTTTTTACTCACTGTCAGTAACTATGGCTAAAGATGTAATTAATTCAAAACAAACAAATTTTCATAGTATCATTAAATAATACAAGGTTAGTATACAAAGGCGATTAAGTGCGGTTTTTAACTTCCCGTAGGGTAAGTTATAGTAATCGCAAAAAAATCGAAAATGAAAAAAATTGTACTAAATCTGCTTACGTAATACTTGAACGATCCCTAAGGCACGATGCCTTAATTGCCTTAAGACAGAATTCCACTTACAGCTAGTTTCTTCTAGATTGCTTCAAATGATTCTTTAGTTTTGTTGAGGTAGTCTACATGTAAAACACATTTTTTATTATATGGTGAGAAATTTATCTGTAGATTAGTAGAAAATACTTGTTTGATCGGTTATGTAGTTTTCGTTTAGCGTTTATTGAAAAATGAAATATCAAAGCAAACATTTTAGTCAAATTTTGCATTTTTATTTCTGCAAAGGGTAAAACGATCTTCTCGAAGAATAGGTGTCTATGTTTATGGTGTCGAAGCCTTAAAAAAACAGCTATGTTAAAATTGGTTTTGAAAATGCCATTCTGGTGATTTTCTACTCAATGCTACTCTGATTGTCCAGTTAAAGTTTTGGACAACCTAATTAAAGCAATAATCGATTCGGCTAATAGAAACAATTTGGTTATGTTTAAAAATTATTGGGGGTTGGTTGAAATTTTTCTCTACATCCACCAAATGTTCCTGACCACAAACGGTCTGATTAAAACACTTGAATTAAAAAAAAAAAATATGATAGTGTCAAATTGTGTTTTTACTAATAAAACTAGAAGTTTTATAAACTTGGGATAGTGATGCTTTTAGGAAAATAACAAATTGTCATAGATCAAAATGGTATACAGAATAAAGTTATTTAATTCTACGCAAAAATTGTCTTTGATTTTCTAACATGAGATGCGCACATACTTAGTTGCAAACCTGATAACTAAAAAAAAGATTTAACAAATATATATATATATATATATATATATATATATAAAATTTAGATATAATTCCGTTCTGAGTTAAGAAAATGTCAACTAGCTAAGTAGATTCATTAAGAAAGGGCTTTATGAAGAAACTGAAACCAAATGCCCTATTTTAACTTCAGTATTGTATTAGTCAGTATTGTATCAGTATATATATATATATATATATATATATATATATAAATATATATATATGTATATATATATATATATACATATTTTTATTGGTTTCGTTGAAAAGTATAATTTTTTATTATTATATATATTATATATATAATAATAAATGGTAGTCTGCCCCAAGGGGAAGGTCCATAGTGTGAGAACCACTACAAACAAATGATTCCCTTACCCTTCATCCCGTTACCACTATTCGCATTTTTTTTATTTCATGTATTTTTTTTTCCAAACTTCCGTTTCCATGCTTTTTGATCATGTGCTTCGGCTTTCCGTTCTCTGTATTTTCTCTTCTTGCGTAAGTCGTCAATCGTCTGCATTCTTCTTCTTCCTATTCCTTTTGTTCCTTCTATTTTACTCTCGACAACGTCGTGCAGGAAGCTCTTTTTTGCAAAAGAGGTCCGATCCAGTTTCCTTTTCTTTTCAGAATTGTGCCCAGTAGAGTCCTTTCTTCGCCCACTCTTCTCAGGACTTCTTCATTTGTTACTTTGTCTGTCCACTTTATCTTTTCCATTCGTCTCTAGCACCGCATTTGAAAACTCTCGTGGTAGTTTTAATCGGCCTTTTTAAGAGTCCATGTCTCCGATCCGTACAGAGCTATGCTCCAGACGTAGCACTTCTATTAGTCTCTCAGTTTGCTCGTCAGTAGCTCTCTTCTTCGTGGTATGCATGGACAAAATAACACCTTATTTAAATTGGCCAGTTTTAGTAACGTTGTAGTCTTGTCGCTGTAATCACTTGCGAGTGCTTTTCTCATGCTTTCTGAGGACTTATTTATTGTTATTTGTAATTATTATCATTGCGATTTTCAGGCGCTTGGTGGAATTTTGATTGTTTATTTATTTTTGTATGCTTTTGGACAAAATGACATACTTATACAATGGACAAAATGACACAATACTATTTCGCAATAACAGCAGGGCAGTTCATTTGAGACCAAGAAAAAATTAACATTGAAACCTGTAAAAGGTGTTTGGCTTTTAACTTTCACTCTAACTACTTTTGAAAACAAGATAAAGGATTCTCCGGTAAGAAGAAGAGACTTGCATTTATTGCAAACACCTCCTTTCTGTTCTGAGTTCGGCGAAGGTTGGTTATTATGTATGATTTATTTGTTTGGAGCCCAAGATTCATGTACTGATGTCTCCAAAAAGGATCAAACGTAAACGATTTATTCATGAACTGTCTTCATAAAATTAATATCTCAGCATGTATTTACCTTATATGTAATTTTCTCCGTTGTCAACTATATTGACAAAATGATTTTTGTTATTAGTTGCATTTTTCCTTAATAAATATGTTTCTTCTAAATTAAGATTATTTAACTGGCAGTCAATGAATCTAACACGAGTTAAAGCGATTGAGATTATAATAATGTTAAATAAATAAATTTCATTAAAAACACCATGTCATTTTCTTCATACTACCCCTAACTTTGTCTTTTTGGAGTGATATTTCAGTCGATATCGAAATAATTTTATATCAGTATATTTATAAGTTTTAATTATAATTATAATAAAGAAAGGGTATGGGCGTGTTTCCATACAGAATTGGCCCCACCCTGGCATTTAAATGATTTTGATGCCATTTTATAGGTATTTTCGAGAAAATTCGAAATACCAAATTTCAAATCCGTAACTCATCATTTGGCCGAGATATCAGTGAAAACATGTGAAAGTGGTCCCTTTTTTTAAACTCACGTTTTGTCGGAAATATGAGAGATCTCGAAAAAATGTTAACGTCATTCTATTTATACTGATCTTGTCTATGTTGTTCATAACAAATAAGCTGAAAATAATCATTTATTATTATTGATTATTTTCATTCGCCGTATAAGCTTGCGACTAATATATTTCGATATATAAAAAACTTTCAAGATTTCAATATTTTTGATATATTAAAAGTATATTGAAAAATATATCTCTGTGAGCAATTTGTTTACACATATGCAACACATAGAATTTCACAAATTATAATTATTGTGGTTTTCCATGGAGAATAGGTAAAATAGCAATTCTATTTTTTGAATCAATATTAGTTTTGCAAAAAAAATATTTTCTTTTTTGTGCTTTCTGTGCGCTATTTATGACTTGGCTGAAATTGCAATATCGAATAGTGCAAGTATTACAAAAAATATTTACATAGAAAGGGAATTAAATTAAGAAAACTGTTAAATAATGCAAATTGTATAGTAGTTATATAGAAAAAATAATTATAATTGTTTTTACCATTCGTTGAAAAAATAATAGTTATTAATAATTTGTGACATTTTATGTATCACGTATGTGTAGACAAATTCCTCACAGAGAAATATTTTTTATAATACTTTTAATACTTTATTTAATATATTTTTAATACTTATATACTTGCGTTGAATAGTTATGAAATGTATTCTTACATATATTTTTATCGATTTTTTATTTAATGATAACTATATAAAATATAATAACATTGTAAAATACGAAAAAGGTAATTACAATTAAAATACGTTTTATTGCCGACATAAATATATCAAAAATATTGAAATCGAAATCTTTTTTGAAAGTTTTTTATACATCGAAATATATTAGTAACAAACTTATACGGCGAACGGAAAATAATCAATAATAATAATTATTGTTTTTATTCGGCGCGTTGGATTTTTTATTATGACTGATAAATATACTTATATACAAGATATAAATGAATTTTGGGTTTTAACAAATATTTCCAAAAGTATATACAGATCTTGTCGAGACTTGCTCGTCGCTCTTGCAAAGTGAACTTATATGGGCGTTCTTGTACCGGCAGCGCGTGTATTAGCTTGTTTTTCCAACTTTACAACAAAAAGTTCCACTTACATTTAAATGAATTTTTGAATAACAGAAAAAAGTGCAGGCTTTCGAATGATGCTAATTTAAAAGTAGCCCAAAGAGCCGGACTGGTAGAAAATGGAAAATGAAAAATCATTTTCATGTTTTCACGCACTAACAAATTATTTTTTTACCTTATTTGTTATGAACAGCATGGACAAGATCAGTATAAATAGAATGACGTTAACATTTTTTCGATATCTCTCATATTTCCGACAAAAAGTGAGTTTGAAAAAAATGTCCACTTTCACATGTTTTCACTGATATCTCGGCCAAATGATGAGTTACGGATTTGAAATTTTCGAATTTTCTCGAAAATACCCGTAAAATGGCATCAAAATTATTTAAATACCAGGGTGGAGCCGATTCTGTGTGAAAACATACCCAGACCCTTTATGACTATTATTACATGTGTATTACATAAATGACATGCATTTGTATTAAAACTGAATAAATGAACACAAAATAAAATAACAATTTAACCTATGTATCTAATACGTTATTTTTTTTCTAGGGTAAATTATCTCATGGGCTATGGCAACCTTTTCCTAGTGCTCGCCAACAACCGCCAAATGTAATAAATAGTCGTCAGACAGTCAACTGTCATCATGGCCCTCCCGCCGTCTTTTGTTTCGAGCCTCCTCCTCCTGTCATTCCATGCACATCAGGTACGCTTTGTTATTAATATATCAATTGAAATCGAATTTAAAACTGCGAATGTAGATAATCAATAGGAAATCAAGAAAAATAAGTTCGAATAGTAAGCAACTATTATTATCGAACACATTAGTATTAGTTATATCTGAAAAGTGAGAATCTGTCGAAAACTCTTTCACAATATAAGATATTGAATGATTTTGACGCGTTTCGCCTATTTGACATTTATTAAATCATGGATTACTATTCTTTATTATTAATTTGCTTTCATATTTCTAAATAATGTCATTAAATACAAGTATGTCTAGATAATTGTTTGGTAATCATGTGATAAGATTAATATTTATTTATTTATTTATTTATTCATAAGCAAGCCGTAATCAATAATAATAGATATTATTTCAGGCTCTTGTCAAGCTTATTCATAGTTAATATTAAAAGGATAGTAATTTTATAATAATCATAGTAGCTGCACGAATTTTGCTTCCGAAAAAAAGAGCTGAAAAAAAGCATTCGAACATTAAATACAATGTTCATTTAAAACCGTAAAAATGTTAAATTAATAAAATAGCAAGAAAAAAAATTGAAAAAAAATATGGTTGTACAGGCGATCAAATGGTCAGACTACATAGATAAAGGATAAGAATTATGCAAGAAAATAGTTATTGAAATCAAATTGAGAAAATTCAGTAATGTCATAAAAAGCTAATTCTTTAAAAAGTTTAACTAGGAAAGCATGAAATTTTTTGCTGTCTAAGTTTCGGATGTTGAGTGGAAGTTTATTCATAAGCTGAATACCTAGACCGTCGATCGTATTGAAAGAGCTGCCTAATTTATATATGCGCGCCTTAATAAGTTTGTGTCTAGTGTTGTAGTCTGAGGAGGACGAAGCCATATCCAAAAGTTTCGAATTGTTTTTGATGAAAGATAATGTTACCAGCAGAAAAATGCATGGGACAGTTAGAATATTGTGTTCTTTAAATATGGGTCTGCATGAAGCTTTACTGGGCAAGGAAAAAATTATTCGAATAGCACTTTTCTGAAGCTTAAATATTTTAATTAGTTCGGATGAAAAACCCCAGAATTGGATGCCGTATGAAACGTGAGAATAAAAGTTGCTATAATAAACTGAAAGTAAGCAATTTAAACCAAGTTTGGGTTTTAGGGTGCGCAACATGATACATGTTCTAGATAAAGTTGGTGATAGTGAGATAGAGATATGATCAGACCACTTTAAATTATTATTAATATGGATACCAAGAAACTTTGATACTTGCGAAAAATTATATGCTGAATTATTGATGGTTAAAGAAGTAATATTATTGGATAAACGTTTTTTGTACAAAAAGATATGATTTGGGTCTTATCATTATTGAGGACTAGATTATTTTCACAAAACCATTTCGTTATTTCTGACATAACCACGCTTAATATAATTCATTGTTCACTTTATTTAATTCCCGAAGGAAAAGTTTGTTTTTATCAAGAAATCTGACTTGCTAATTTTATGTTCTCTCGGCATTTCAAGTCATACTGAATCGTTTGAGACCAAAATTGGAAAAACTGTGTCTGTACATGAACCCAAATTTCACATTTTGTCTACGTTTTCACAAAGACGGCTGAAACGATTTCAACCATTTTATTTCATTATAAGTCATTAATTTTGCGAGACGATCAGCCAAACCGTTTTTAAAATTTTCAGAAAACTGCACCTTTTGAAAGATATTATTTGAGAATCGCGTTGATCTTAACGAACATCTTAAAATATTATGGGACTACAAAAAGTTTTCAATAAGAGGTCTGAATTATTAAAATTCATTGAATTTTGGAATAATAGGCCGTGTCAAAGTTACAAACTTCTATCGTCGTAATTTTGGTAGTTGCTAAATTTTAATTCATATTGATTGAGTTGCTTGAGTTTCCCGTACCGTAATTAAACCTTCGAGGAATGAAAATATTGTTTTAAATAATTTCAAATAGATTATTTATTATAAATACATACTGTAAATATATAAGCGCTTATATTCTACAAAAGCTGAACCGATTTCAAAAAATTTAAAGTTCGCAAAAAATTCTGAACCAATCAATGTAACTCGATAAAGAGTTAGTCGCATCAATTGTCCAAGCCCGTGGGTTTATAATTACCACAGACTAGAAAAAAATTTAAAAAATATCCGAAAGGTATTGGTTGGGAATCCCGCTGATTAGTCTTTGATAAAGATCGGCCGAGCAGTTTCTTCATAATAAAACACCGATTTCGTGATGATAGTGATCATGGTTTCGAAGAACATACTAAAATATTAGGGCTCTACGACAAATGGTTTAATTATAAAAATTCAAAGTTCAAAATTTGCTTTGGTGGCGTGATAAATGAAAGTTTAACTTTCGTCAAGTTTCGTAAGTTTTGTCGGAAGCGTCTGAATCAATTACAGAAATTTAAAAGCCATTCTAATCGATGACACTCGATAAGAACGAGCTTCGATTAGTTTTGCGAAACAATGTTTTTTCTTGGAATTAGCAGAAACATGCAAAATTTTTCGTCCACGTTTTCACAAGAGATCAAACAATAAAACGTTTATACTGAAGAGAAAGAAGTCTATAAATAAGTAAAAGTAAATCGGTCCAGTAGAAGTTGAAATGTCTTGGGTATCGTCGAGCCATTTTTTTGTTAACAATTTAACGAGATTGAAGACGTTATTTCATCAAACAAACATACAAAAATATTTGGGGGCCGGAAATGTGTTCAATTATAAAAAGTCATTAAAATGTTTGTGTACTATAATTAGTATAATTACATATACGTAATAAAGGTCTGTTTGCAAATATCAATTAGAAATCGCATTTTAGAACGAGAGAAAATTTTATATTTGAAATAAAAAAATAGTTGAATTTATTTTCTAAATATCAATTATTATTGATTACTATTACATGCACTAAGAAGTTCATGTAATTTGCCTTAAGGCAAAATGCCAATGACGCCAGCTTATTTTCAATCCGGCCCGCCTATGAATTTAAAATTTAATAAATGGCCCGCTGCAAAATTGAGTTTGACACCCCTGTATTAAGATTATATATATATATATATATATATATATATATATATAAGATTATATTATAATAAACTAATTATATGTTTAAATGTAACGGTCATGTAGTGCTACATATAAGTTGCATATGAAATTACATACCTGCGTAGGAGGAGACTTAAAAAATTACAATGGCGGAGATTAGTTATGTTATGTGTAATGAGAATATTGTATTGTGTCGTTAAACATAGAGAGGTATTGAATACTCATTAGTGTTTTTAGTATAAATTAAAGGAGAATTAGAAAATCCAGCGAGATTACAGATCAGAAGTGTGATTTACCAAAAATTTACCAAAGTATATGTGGTTCGATGGTATCTGGACGGGTCAGACCTAGAGTAAGGTTACGTAAAAAGTGTTCGTAGCAGCGGGATTAGAAATCTATGAGGGATAAATAATCGAAAGATTTCGAATAGCGAAGAAGCGTCAGATTAGCCGGGATTAGGAATTTGAAGGAATTGGAAATCCAGTAATCGGACGTGTAATGGGAAGTGAAGTATAATAATTATAGAAGCTAATGTCGATAGTTCAAAATGGCGAGCAATTTGCAGATGAGAGTTTTGTATGTGCGCATAGTAACCATTCAGGATATATTTGCGAAGATTCCGTACTTTTAAGGCATAGTGAGGACAATATGGACGTCGAATCGTGTTTTAGAGCGATAGATGCGATTGGTGAGACGTATAAAGTGTCAAAGAGAAAATTAGCTATATTATTGGTGCCGCGTTTGGGTGGACTAGCCAGAAAATCGTACAACGCTGAATCCGATAATGTAAGACTACCGTATGATGATCTAAAGTGTATGATGTGTGAACTTTTCGGGTATAGAGTACGCACAAAGTTAAATTTGTAATAGTGTGGATTGTATTGCGTGAGTGAAGGTACAGAAAGTTAGGCGGAACAGCATGCAGAGCCAGAATGGTGGATGAAACAAAAGGAAAATGGTAATAGTCGGCAAGTTGAATCAGTGTCGGATGATGATATGAATGTGATGAAACGATATAATAGTAAAAAGGATAAGAAAGATACGAAAGAAACTGAAAAAGATATAATTGCAGCAATGCAATATGCTTTGATGAAATTGAAAGAGGAAGAAGGAAGGTTACAAAGAAAATTGGCAGAATGTATCCATAAAGAAGAAGAAGAAGAGGAGGAAGCTTTACAATAGATTTGGTTGATGCAAAAACGTAAAGAGAAACGATAAAAGAAAATGAAACGTAAAGAGCATTCGAAACTTGAGGGAAACGATGACATAAGTTAATCTGAGGGGGATGCATAAGTGGAGAGTACATCGAAGAAGGATGCATCTGATGAGTATGCATTGAAAGAAATCTATTATTGTATCATTTATTCGTCAAAAAGGTAGTTAAGCAATGTGCGGAGGCAGAAACTATTAGTGAATTGACGAATGGCGAGTTGAACAAGTGTGTTTGGAGCATGAGTACGATGAGGAAGAATGCGTTGAAGTGGAGTGCGTCAATGAACAGCTTTGGATAGAATGAAGGAAAAAGGAAAATTGGTGGTCAAAGAAGAGAAAGGATCATGGATACCACACGAGAAGTAGGAAGTATACAAAATATAAAGTGGTAAAAAATATAAATGGTATTGATGGCAACACTTGTGTACACTAAAACGAAATGGCATGAATATGCGACCTAAAAGCCACATGTAGTTGAACAGTCGAGGAAGACTGTGTGGTCAAGTGTGGCCAAACATTAAGATTATATTATTTAATTTATTATAAGTTTGAATGTAACGGTCATATAGTGCGAAATATAAGTTCAGTATGAAGTTGGTGTGCGTAGGTGTGTATCTATAATATATTTTATCAAATAATTGTAGTAAAATTTAACAACGTAGTTCCAGGAGTAATTAACTAACGAATGAATTATATGAAATCTTTTTACTATCATGTTCAACATCTTTTTACTATCATGCAACATAATTTTTTCAAAGATAATTCTTCCAAAGTAACTCTTCGCGCGACAGATCGCAAAAATTCAATTATTTTAAATCGATATATAATACCAGAAAAACTATAATTCAAACTTGACTTTGTTTTCAGGTGTAGGAAGCAGTGTTAATAACACAAGACTTGATTTAATAAATAATTTGACGGAGCACATCAACGATTTAACCATTTCCAACATGGAAGATGTTTCAAGTCGCAAACGGCAGTCACGGCCGCCACCGTCCTCGTATTTGTGTCACCTTTGTTTCAAGAAAGGACACTATATTAGAGACTGCCCTTATGTAAGTTTATCTTTACTAACTTCGTTCTAATCGAGTGATTTCCAACCTTTGGTGCGAGACACTGTTTCAAGAGAATCATGCAGCTTTTTTCAAAATACTATTTTTGAATACAAACCAAAGAAGTAGAATTAGTATCTCAAAATGAATGAATGAAAATACATAAATGATTATTTTCTATAATATATATATATATATATATATATATATATATACTAGCTGACCCGGCAAACGTTGGTTTGCTAATATTCTAATAAATTTTAAGGGAATCAAAAATATTAATACTTTTAGTGTATAAGGATATGTTGTTTGAATGCTATATACAATCAAGTATTATATAAACAATAAACCTCATTAATTTGTCTATATTTTGTCAATACAATCAAACTGGAAGATTTATACACTTTCTATAGAGACCATAGTATAATCCATCCAAGTCCTTTTTGGTCTTTCGACTTTTTGATTACGTTTCATGTTTTTCACATTCTTTTTGGATTCTGGATTTGGTGTATAATTTTAAATAATACTACTGAGCTTATACAAAATTTTCAAATTTTTGCGAGGAGAGATAGAAAATAAATTAAGTATTTCTTTTTTGACCTGCTTTTTGAAAAGTTTCAAGTAACATTCGATGAATTAAAGTAAATTTAATAAAAAGTATATATGTAAGGCAGGGCAATGCACAAAGGTCCAATTTGACTTTGAGCAAATATAAACTATACTATGAAAACCATAACAATTATATTACAACAAATAACGCATATCAAACGAACAATTATCTGAGTTCAGTAAACTGCCTTCTACTTCATCATTGTAGAAATGTGCTTTTTTGATGTCTTTCAAAAATTTGTTATCTAGACCTTTTTACCCTATAGGCGGGGTAACTTGAAACGGGCAGGTGGCCAAAAGGTTTAAAACCCTATTATAGTTTTAAAGGTATTTTACAAAATAATTACATTTTTAACTAATGCTAAAAAACTACCAACCGAAGAAAATACTTTTATTATGGATTTTCAAAGATTACCGCTTATCTCCCCCATTTCAAAGATTACCGTATACATCTTTTTTCCTCTACTTTCAAATATTGTTGTTAAACAATTCTTAACTTTACTGATCTTTGACACATCGGTGGTGGACCTTTTTAACCCCGGATCTCCATATATTACTATCTATTCTTCGATAAATTCTGGGAAATTATAACTGCAAAAATGTTATTCGGCAAAATGTCCGTTTGATCGATACCAAATTTAGGTTTTGAATTTAAATAACCTAAATAAAAAATAATATAACCTAGATATGTTATATTATTTATATGTTTTATAAATACCAATGAGTATATAATTATACAAATGAGATCTTTCAGAGCACAGTGTTTGAGATAAATATGCCAAAAAGTGCATTTTCATATTAACATTTCGAAAAAGTTAATATTTTGAGTCTCTAGTAACACTTGCGGCCCGTTTACTAACGTATATGTATATGTTTATGTATATAAATAAAACTACAAACAAAACTACTTACTACAATTTAATCATAACGTAACTGAACATCATCTGTCCAAAACGTTTGACATTTCACGAATTAGCCACCGTCCATTGTTTTATTTAAAATACGCTTCTACAAAAATTTGCAAATTAAAAGTATAAAGTTTCTACGCGATTTTGAATTAATATCTCACCTTTCCGACCATCTCTGGATTGGCACGAATTTTTCAAGACTATACTGGCCAAATCGGCTTAGCTGTTTTCGAGTTCTACCGAATCATCTGATCAAGAGCTCCATTTTTATATATAAGATATATATATATATATATATATATATATATATATATATATATTATTATTATTATTATTATTTTGTATCCCGTAAAAGAAATTACATTATCAGTTAAAATATGGGATCGCAACAATTATATAAAAGAAAATGGGAAGCGGGGAGAGGTACAAAAAGGTTGGAAATTACTGTTGTAAGCCTTATCACTTAATCCATGAGATTGTGAATAAACGTTTGAATAAATTTCATAACATCATATTCTGGTGTTAGATTGGTTATTCCAAGGAGAATCAAAAATATGTTGAACAGGATGGAAACATTTATTTCAATCTACTTTGTTCAATTTTTTTGTAAAATCTAACCAAATATGATATTAATAACACAGTTTGTTATTTTTATTTTTATTTTCTATAAGGTAAGTAATTAAATGAATAATATTTTTTTACAAAAAGTATAAATAAAATATTTACGTTAGTGTGCAGTAGTTTTGTATATGTGTATGTTGGGCTCTGCCACGTTTTAGGGGAATAGATCAAACGATTTTAATAGTACAAAAAGCAAGCATGGTGGCAATGGTGCATTTTATTCCGTAGTATTGGTTCCATTAATTGCAGACAATTTCATGCATTTTCATTTATAACGTTGCACTTTTCTAATATTGTAGAATTTTTTTTAGTAAACGGGCTTCTTTTTCCAATTCGTTTATATGACAAAGCCGAATAAAAAAGTTATAAGCTTTCTGCAATATTTACCCTAATTGAATTTTAATGAAATTTTAAGTTTAGATTCTAATAACTTGTTCATATAATGTCCATATCTCATTTCCTGCATGATGCAGTAGAGACATGTTTGACATAATTAATGACAACACCTTATTTTATGATAGGCACGACCTAAAGGAGAAGGGTTGACGCCTTATCAAGGTAAAAAGAGGTGCTTTGGTGAATACAAATGTCCTAAATGTAAGCGCAAGTGGATGTCGGGCAATTCGTGGTCCAACATGGGCCAAGAATGTATCAAGTGCCACATTAATGTTTATCCTCATAAGCAGGTAAATTTAGCATTCCATTATTTATATTATTTATTATATGTGGCATGTTAATTGAATTTTCCAATGGTAACATAAGCTTGATTGATTCTCAGTGATTGTATTACGACTATTTTTCATATATAGTATAGTTTAATATATATTAAACTTAAGAACTGTCCAAGTTATTACAATTAATTATGAACAAGACAAAATCATTTGATTTTTATATATAATTGCAGAGACCATTGGAAAAACCGGATGGATTAGACGTATCTGATCAGTCGAAAGTGCACCCACAACATTTGTGTGAGAAGTGCCGATCTCTGGGCTTCTACTGTCGGCGGGTCCAATAAATATTCCAATTTTCACTTCATAACTTTAATTTAAAGAAAAATTTAAACTTAACAATTATATTGAAACACTATTTAGTACTGGATATAAAAATTTTGTATAATTATATATTTTCTAAAGTTTTTGAAAATGCACTAAATAATAAATATATATATATACATATTTCACGCATTTCTATTATGTATTTTGAATGTATGCTCTTACAATATCTGAAACGTTTTAATGCAATAAGGTGATTATTGTTTTTCAGACCAATTATACATTAATTGACAGAATGGTATTGCTCACACAAGTATCACACACGTAAACTAGCTCAATTGTCATATTGAAATTATGTTTTCCTTATCAATTCTTCTTTCCGTTGCTCTTTATTGGGTACGGACAAAATTTAAACTAATAATATATGTAATACAATATTTAGTATTATGCAATATTAGTATACTTTTTTCCAGCTCATTCTCACTTTGAGTTCCCAGTGTCCAATCAATTGTTCCCAGGTTCTATACACGCCTCGGACAGTCTGATCTCATGCAATAGTGATATCAATTCTCATATGAAAATATAGATAATAATGTTTTCAAGTGGAAATAGCCTTTACCCAGCATTGCTGTATCCAATAAAAAGTCATCACTTTCAAAGAAATTCTAATAATAAACTAGAGATAGGCCAACTGTTTTCACAAGCCTTTCAGGGACAGATGGTAATTACTTTGTGCCAGGTCCGACCTATAAAGTGATTCATAAGAACCTCCCAACAAAGCATCTGGAACTTTTGGCAAGTCACTATCGATGTGTATGGCCTGACGGAACACAATTCTTCTTCTATTAACTAAAGCTGGCCGTTTTTAAGCGACTGCCTCCTTCCTCCTTGGATTAATTGTTAACAGTGCAGTTCCGAGTTAAGAATTTTACTATATCAGCTCATAGTAGATGGCTGCCTGTGAATCCCACCAAACTAGCAGCTAAACCTCCCTGGCCGTCAATCCTTGCTGGCCATCGTTTCCGCCGACTCACTTTATAATTCGACCACGATATAGTTTTCGCTAATTAACTAAAGCTGTCCGCTGTTCTAATAATCAGCACAATAGCTTATAATTTTTTTTTATTATTTGATTGCTATTTAATTATTATTAAAAAAAAAGTTCTGTTAAATAATGCTCGATTAAACAGAATTATTTGTTTTTCCGATGTTTGTTGTTACAATATTGTTATTAACTTCCTGAAGGAGAAGTTTGTTTTCATCAAAAATCCGATTCGCTAATTTTATGTTTTCTCGACGTTTCAAGCCATTCTGAATCGAATGAGACCAAATTTGGAAAAAGTATGTGTGTGTGTGTGCGCGCGCGTATGTGTGAACAGATTTTTTGCCGTAAATCGACGTTTTCTCAAAAACGGTTGGACCGATTTCAAAAATTTAAAAGCCATTTGATATATTTCGATGAGGACTAGCGTTTCTGAGTTTTGTGTGACGATCGGCCGAGCCGTTTCTTTGTAAATCGCAGAAAAGTAAAAAAAATTCGTCCACGTTTTAGCCCGCAATTCTTAATCGATTCAATTAATTTATTTAAGAAATTCAAAAACCGTTTGAAAGATATTGGTTGGGAATCGTGCTGATTAGTTTTTGGTAAAGATCGGCCGGGCCGTTTTCTTGTAATAAAGTTTTTAAGAAAAAAAATTCGATGATTTTTATTAGTATTTTTTTGACGGTAGATACCATAGTTTTCTAGAACATACTAAAATATTACAGCCCTACGACAACTCGTTTAGCTTTAAAAATTCATCAAAGTGATCGACGTTTTCTCAAAAATGTCTGAACCGATTTCAGAAATTTAAAAACCATTTGATGTATCTCAATGAGGACTATCGTTTGTCAGTTATGTGAGACGATCTGCCAAACCGTTTCTTTGTAATTTGAAAAAAATATTAAATTTTCGTCCGCATTTAAGCTCAAACTACCGAATCGATTTTAAAAAATCAAAAACTGTTCGAAAGATATTAGTTAGGAATGATACTGATTAGTTTTAATTGAAAATCTACCGAGCCGTTTTCTTGTTTAACCGTTGAAAAAAAAATTTAAGCTGATTTTTATGGAACGTTTTTTGGCGATATATATCATGGTCTTATAGAACTTACTGAAATATTATGGCCTTACGACAAGTAGTTTAATTTTAAAAATTTATCAAAGTTTGAGAAAATGAGTAGTTTCTTTGACATTTGTTAATATTACAATTAGAAGATTTACTTGGTATAACGATAGTAGTACTTGGTCTTAATGAACATACCTACCATTAAAGTCCTGCGGAAACTGATTCAATTATATAAATTGTTGATTTTTGAAAATTTGCTTTTAGAAAGTACTCCGAGTTAACGTGTTCGTTCATTTTCAATTATGTGTAATAGATCCACTCGGAATACTTTTAATCGCTCATAAATTAATTTATTTTTTATTGATTAAGTCGATTATTTACACATATCGGGAAGTTCATGTAACTTGCCTCAAGGCTAAATACCAATACCAACTAGTTTAAATAAACATATTACTACAGTAAATATTAATAGCAATGAATATATTATATAATGTAAGACATTAGCAATTATATTAAGATATTAGCAATTATGTTACATTTGCACTTGCAATTACCTTTTTTACAGAGTTTGGCAAATTTGTCTGTGAAAAAAGTAATGTAGGGGAGACTGGGTACTACTTCTAGTTGAATCATCAACCATTTTTTTCCTTGTTAACGAATAAACAGTTCCGTTGAAATGAAACAACTTAAAAAACGTGGCAATCTATTATTTATTTATCTTATATGTTTAAAGAGAATCATCTCTTTACGATAAAAAATTAACAATAAAATGCAATAGTGATTCATGAGATATATATTAAAGATAATATTTTAAAAACAACAGTATTTAAGAAGTATAACAAATATTCTATATTCATTTTGCTAATATCAAAGGCTAATTTTATAATTCCCATAACATTTTTTAACTTCCCGTAGGGTAAGTTATAGTAATCGCAAAAAGATCGAAATGAAAATTTTTATATATCTTTGCGTTTCAATAGTTTCTGAACAATTTGGCTATACCTTAGAAAAAATAGATGTATGTGTGTGTATGTGTGTGTGTGTGTATGTTTGCGGATACAAATTTTTGTCGACAAATTCGGGAACACGGTTCAACCGTTTTCGATTAATCAAAAAACATTCGATTGCTGTTGATAAAGAGATGTGCTGATTAGGTTTTGGCATAAGCAGGTCTAGCCGTTTCGGAGATACGGGGCAAAAAACGAACGGTAACTCAGTTTTTAGGAGAACGGAGCGTTTGATTTTAATAATTCAAAAAGCATTTTACTTGTATTGACAAGATAAAGAATTTATCAAATTTTCATGAAGGCAGATCTAGGGGTTTCGGAGAGCTAGTGAAAAAAGTAAAAAAAAATTGGCGGTCAAAAATGATCATTAGAAATACGCACATCAAATTATCAGATATTTTATAGAGATTTTAACAATAAGTATAAATTTTGTTTACATTCGTATCGGTTCCATACCAATGTTTATCCGTTAGACGGCGACACGGCGCTTACGCGCTTCGATATTTTGTCTTATGCAGTTAAAGCAGTACGATTGCTTTGAAAAAACGTTCAGAATTTCTGAAATATTTCAAAATAAAGAAAACATTTTTTTTTTTCAAAAAGTCTTTTCAAAAAAAGTAAGTTTTTGTCAAAAATGTATAGTTTCTCAAAAATCTATTTTTTTTTCAAAGTAAAATTATTTCAAAAATTTTAATCTTTTTAAAAACAAATAATTTTAGTACGGGAAGTCCAGCAATTTGCCTTAAGGCACGATGCCATGCGCCCCACTAGTTAAATCTGTAATTGACGCAGAAACAAATTCGTACTGTAGCCTATTTATCAAAAGTAAAAAAGTTAATAACTATAAATTCGATAGTTTATTGTAATTATAGCAGTAATTATAGCAAATAAAATACTCAATCATAAATAAAACTAAATCAAAATTGTTATAATTAACCTTAATTAAACAGCACACGTTTTTCCATATATAAATTCACATTGAATTATTTTCTCGCATACACCGTAGGCAACATAATATATAATAACATTAAAGAGATACATCATAAATATTGTGTGCACAGTACAATATATATTATACAATGATAATATTTGAATGCAATAATCTTAAAATTATTAACTTTGGACGAAATAGTTTTTTCATCCCCTAGTTTTTTAATCGTTAACCGTGTTGTTTCGTTGACGGTAAAAACGTCCATTAATTGTAAACTGTTACGTCATATGTAGAAAAGAGTACATATTAGACTTAAACCAACATCCAACAGAAATCGATGAAACAAATAACCCTATGCCTTATCAACAAAACCATGTTAAATATTAGGGTATTAGCAGGGCAGAATTCAAATTTATTCCGGACTAAAATTTATCTGAAAATTTATGCCACCCTATCACTGACGTTTTACATAAATAGTTTTTAAATCTTATTTTTCTGAAATTAGAATGACTATTCCATTGCAGAAAATTTATTGCGTATTACGTGCTATAATAATATAAAAAATATTCATATTTATTTTAAGAATTTGGGACTACCTATATTGATAGTAGGTGACACTGGGTACATTTGTGTCAGGGTACAGTTGCTCGCCCTTTTCTTGTATGATTTAATTATATAACTTATTTGACCAATTTATCGTTTTTAAGGACAGTATTTTAGAAAATCCATATTTCTCATAGCTAAGTGGTAGTTTAACAAAATTATTGCTAGTGAGACAACCATACCCAGTCTCTCTTACATTACTATTTTCACGGGCAAATTTTACGAACTTCTCAATTGCAAATTGTTCAATTAAATCTTCACAATCTAAACATTGAAGTGAAATGCATAGAATAGAATTAAAAAATATTTTTGAATTTTTAGAAAAACTACTGAAATTTATCAATTACTGAAAATAAAAGAATCAAATATTATCTTTTTAAATCTTCATGGAAATAAATTAATTAACTTCTTTGATAGTTAGTTTTTACTCAACTTTCCAAAATTATGATATACAGAATTGAAATTTTTGATACAAAAAGTGTTTAAGAAGAATTAGTGAATTCTATTGTATAGATTTTTTTCTCACTTTTCAAATTTTGCCGCTCAGGGCACTCTCCCTGACTACCTGACTACTGTTAATCCACCCAAATCCACCACTGGGTATTAGAGGGTGCGCATTGTTCGCAACGTGCGCGAGGTTTCTTTGGTTTCTTTCGTTTGCAATAATTTAGTCTGCGCATATTGCAAACAGATTCGCCGCACGAATTTGTGCAATGGGGACGATCCACTAGCAGCAATCCATAGATAAGTGAGCAATCCATATATCTTTCTTTTATCTATGGAGCATTCTTCTTGGTCGTCTATTTGTCGCATCGATGCCATTGAGGATTTATATATCGAATTTCGAATATCGATAAGATTCGAAGCTTAGGTAACTTCACTCGTATCTGGTACTTCTTGCAAGTTCACGTCCACTCCGCCACATTGCTTGTGGCCATTTTGTTCATCATTACTTCAGACATCTAAATTCTTCGTTTATATAATGTTATAAAGTGGTATAAAGTATATGCAATAAGTTAATTGAAGTGACATAAAGCAAATTCATGATGGCACGATACGCCCAGCGGCCGGAAAATGCTCTAAAACGGGCCAATGGTATGTACTTTTATTAAAACAATGCAATATGAAAATTACCACGTTGTCAATTTTCTCAAGCTAATATTCGATTTTCGTGCTTTTTGCTATACAGTAAGTTAATTATAGGTATATAATTAGAAGCAATGCGTTATTCGTTCGCAGTTTTATGAATAGTAGTTGGTTATAACTTGTTATTAGCTTTAAAATTCATGATATCTTAAGTTGAAAAATTGACACACGTGTGTGATGCATTTTTATATCTTTATTATAAGTTCTGGAAATAAGCAAATAAAGTAAGTTATTACGTTTACACATTTATATATAAAAGTATTCTATTTTTTGAGATCGTTTACCATTATATTATAACCTATAATTTGTAACAAATCTTCAACACCTTTGTTGTAGTTTTCTTAAATATTTTAATGCGATCCATATAACCTTTATGTAGAATTTAACCGCATAAATTTTGCTTACTTTGTTACTTAAGTGATTTTATTTTTGCAGAATTTATTGACGTCGGCAAACCCGCCCGAGCTTTAGATACATTGCAAGAAGTTTTCCGCAACAAAAAATGGGCTTACAATTGGTCAGAAAGTGTATTGGAACCTATAATGTTCAAATACCTAGACCTATGTGTCGAGTTAAAGAAATCTCATATTGCAAAAGAGGGATTATTTCAATACAGAAATATGTTCCAACTCGTGAATGTGGGATCACTTGAAAATGTTATTCGTGGGTACTTGCGCATGGCAGAGGAAAGAACAGAAGCAGCTCAACAGCAATGTACACAAGCTGTTGTTGTCATTGATGACTTAGATAACTTGGCGACTCCTGAAAGTATACTTATGAGGTTCGTAGAAACTATTATTTTATAGTTCTGCATTCTTAATAAAAGAATTCTATATTTATTACTTTTAGTAATACAGTCAATTTGTATATATTTTTTGCTGCCATGTGTTATTAAATCTATGTCCAGTGCTGCATTATGCTGATAATTGTTTTTCAATAATGAATTATTTCTAATTATGTTTCAAGTTTTCTAACATAATCTAGTTCAGTAAAATGAGCCAGATAAACGGGAAAACTTTATGATTTTCTACTTACATAATTGAAATTTTTGCTATAGTCAATTTGTATAAAACGTAGATCAAAATGTATTTTGTTGTATTTCCACTAACTATTCTGATACAGTGAAGCTTGTAAATTGTTTAATTTTTTGTTTAAACCATATGGTTAGCAATTGATTTGTTTGCAACATTATTTTAGTGCTGTGTGTGGTGAAGATGCACAAGATAGATCCGAAAGGACAATACTAATGCCCTGGGTTAAATTTTTATGGGAGTCATACTGTCAATGTCTTGAACTTCTACGGACTAATGCTCATGTTGAAACTTTATACCATGATATTGCTAGAATGGTTTTCCAATTTTGTCTGAAATACAATAGAAAAACAGAATTCCGTAAGCTTTGCGACAAGCTACGAAAACACTTAGAAGATATCTGTAAATTATCCGTAAGTTTTTTAAGACATTCTTTCTGTAATTATCCATGGTTTGGTTTAATCTAATGTTTGTCTGCTAGGTACAAACTACAAATGTCAGCATAAACAAACCAGAAACACAACATTTAAATTTAGAAACACGTTTATATCAATTAGACAGTGCAATACAAATGGAACTGTGGCAGGTTAGTACATATTCAATATGGTTTTTTATGTTCCAATTATATGTTTAAAGTATTGTTGCGTGTTTAGGAAGCATATAAAGCTATTGAAGACATACATGGCCTGATGAATATTTCAAAAAAGCAGCCACTACCTAAAACTATGGCAAACTACTATCAAAAATTATCCATGGTCTTTTGGAAGGCTGGTAATCAACTATTTCATGCAGCATCCTTATTAAAACTTTTTCAATTGTCCAGGGAAATGAAGAAAAACATAACATCTGAAGAATTACAACGGTAATGAGGTATTTTTGATATATTGAATTCTCTAGGAGAACACTATTTAATAAAATTTAAAATGTTCAGAATGGCTTGTCGTGTTTTATTATCAACTCTTGCTATTCCACTACCATCAGCACATCCTGAATTTGATCGTTTTATTGAGACAGATAAAAGTCCTTTGGAAAAGGCTCAAAGGCTTGCAGTGCTTTTAGGCTTGTCACAGCCTCCCACAAGAGAAACCCTTCTTCGAGATATAGTATGTAAATAATTTTTTTTGTTTTTATGAATATATTATGAAACCAATGACTAATCTAATTAAATCTGTAATATTTAATTACATTTTAGGTTCGAATGAATGTTGTTCAATTAGCTTCTCCACAACTACAACAATTGTATGCATGGCTTGAAATTGAATTTGATCCATTGAATTTATGCAGCCGTGTTCTGACAGTAATAGAAACTTTGAACACAGATGAAAGTATGTCAATATACTGTCTATACACTTAAAGAATGTTTTCATATATAAATTTGATACAAAAAAATGTTGATCAATTTGATCATACTTGTGAATAAATATCTGAAATATTTTTGATTACTAATTTTAAATGTAATTAGGAATTGGCTTATATATAAAACAAATTTAATGTTGATGAAATTCGTTCATTAGGTAATTCTCTTTTGCAACAATATATACCTGCATTGCAAGATGTAACATTAGTCCGGCTGGTTCGGCAAATATCACAAGTTTATCAAAGTATAGAATTTGCTCGGCTAATACAATTAGCCAGATTTACAACTGATTTCCATTTGGAGCGTTTACTAGTTGATTGTGTCAGGCACAATGATATGCAAATTCGTATAGATCATGCTAAAAGGTAAGATTGAGATTTGCCATGTAGATTTTGACTAGATCCTTAATTATTTTTGATTTATTTAAGGTCTATTCACTTTGGAATGGACTTAAGTGAAAGTCAAAGGGAGGATAAACCGGAGGGGCCTACTCTACAAAGTATGCCTTCTGAACAAGTCAGAAACCAATTAATAAGTATGGCTACTGTTCTCCATCAAGCAATAGCTGCAATAAATCCACATCGTAAAAAGGTGAGCATTAGTTGAAAAAATCCAAATGTTTTTTTGCACACAATTAGAATTTTGCAGTTGAAGTATAAACTACAAGATGTCGGAAGTGTGCAAAACTAAATATGCTATGATGAAAACATTGCTGACTTACTCTTGTTGCAATGTTCACATAACTGCATGATACATGTATATATCTCTACATATGTTTATTTTATTCTTTTTATTTATAACTTAGAATATTAAATTTTTTTATTACTTTAGGCAGAACGAGATAAGTTACGAGCACAAATGGTTCACAACTATCATGAAAACAAGGTGAAAGAACATCAAAGAGTGCTGCAACGTCATAAAATTATTGAGGATCGCAAAGAGTATATTGAAAGGTTAAACACAGTGAGAGAAGAAGAGGAATTAAGGTTTGTGTTCTATTACAAAAAAATAATTGTGGCACCTAATTAGAGCTTTATTTCCATGTTCGTTGGATATGAAGTGTCGAATGTGTGCAAAAGTAATATGCTTTTATGTTCAAATTATATTCATATAATGTAATTTATCAAATATGCATAACAGTTGTTGTCTTTTTAAAAAAATAAATTGTATTGTATAATGGAATTTTTAAATGTTTTTAGGAGGCAAGAAGAAATTTTACGACAGCAGCAACTTGCTGAACAAAGGCGCCTGGAGCAAGAACGTGAGGAACGTGAACGCAAGCGCCAAGCTAATGAGCGTCAACAAATAAAGGATAGAAATTTGAAGGAAAAGATGCAAAAGATATCACTGACAACACATGGTCAAAGAGTTCTTAAGAAACTTGATGAGGAGGTACATTTATTTTTAACATATATATATATTTCAACATCAAATATACATTTCAACATCAAATTTAAACATTTTCAACATATATATATATATATATATATTATATAATATATTATATATATTATGTATGCACGGAAAAATTACAAGATGCAAAGCTGATTGCTTCTTGTCCAGACACCATGCTAGATAAATTAGCGCATTATATATTTGTGTATATATTACTTGTAATATCAGTAATTTTTTATATATATGCGAAACAAATTAATTATAAAACTTTTTTTTTTATTAAAATTACAAGAGTTAGTTCATCAAAATTTTTGCCATAGGAAATGAAAAAAATGGATGCTGAACAAATAGCTGCAAGAGAGGCTGAGGAATTAATTAAAGAAAGACGTGAATTCCAAGCTAAATTAAAGAGTCAGGAAAAGAAAATAGATTACTTTGAAAGAGCTAAACGTATTGAAGAAATACCCTTGATTCAAAAGTCCTTAGAAGAGAAACAAGTTCAAGATCGGAAATTCTGGGAGGAGCAAGAGGCAAATCGTATAGCACAGGCTGTTGCAGAACGTGCTTTAGCTGTTGCCCAACAAAAACGATTACAAGGCATGATTGATGAGAAAAATGCTTTCTTGGAGATCTTGAAAGCATCTAGAAGACATGTCCATGAAGAAAAGCTGAAAGAATTCAATGTAATTTTGGATGAAGAAAGAAACAAACGTTTAGCACAGCGAGTGCTTCAGAGGAAAGAAGAGCGCAGAAGGGAATGGCTTCGGCAAAAGGCAGAAGAAGCTCGTCGAGCCGAGGAAGCACTACGTAAAGCTCAGGAAGAGGAAAAGCGTATAGAAAAGGAAAAGAAATTGCAAGCTGACAGGTGAAACAATTTTCTTTTTTTTTTTGTTTTGTTACAATATTTTCACATCTCAGTCAGTCGGGCAATTTTCAAAATGACTTGAAACAAAAAACTAAATTTTATCAAATCCATTTTTATTTTTTTATTTTTTTAGGGAGCATCAAGAAATGCTGGAGCGTGCGGCCGCCAAGATTCGGGCTCGGGAGGAGGAAATTGAACGTAAACTTGCGGCAGATAGAGAAAACATTCGTGAGAATGAAAGCCGTGATAAAGAAAAAGAACGTGGTCCTAGCAGTTGGAGGCGAGGTGATGCAAGGCAAGTTCAATATTTCACCTGAAACATTTTTGTAATGGAAATAAATATTGAATTTATATGTGCTAACTTTATTTCGATTTTCCATATTCAGGCCCGAACGTGATATTCGCATAGAACGCGATATTCGTAATGAGCGGGAAACACGCGCCGAACGGCCTGAACGAGATACTCGTGCGGAGCGTGACATACGTACAGAACGTGATGGTCGTTCAGATCGTAGAGCGGAGAATGAATGGCGTGGAGGGCAGTCCACTCCATCAGTTGATAAATCAGTGTCTGAAGTTAGTTCTGCAAGATCACTTTCATCAGATGTCGCTTCAGAATCTTCTGTGGCGCCTACACCGGCACAAGATAATGTTCCTCGAAAAGAAGAGGCATGGCGTCCAAGGAACTTGCCTGATCGGAAAGAACCTGTTGCTGAAGGCATTTGGCGAAGGGGAGGTGATGATAGAGACAGGTATTTTTTGTTTTTATTGAATTTGTAGATTCTATGAACAACTTGATATAAGTATTCAATTTTTGCATAAATTGAAAATCAATTTTTAACAATTATAAAATTAAAATAATGCAAATTTCAAATCCTATCAATTTAAGAGGTATTGTTGAAGCTTTTCCTAAATCCAGACCTAATGTTTTTCTATCCTGGTGGAATTGGCGCCTCGACAGATAGGCACCCCTCTTATGATTTAAACAATTACTCATCAAAAACAAACATTTTCCTTTGGCCAATGTGTCATTGAAAAAAATTGAAAATATTTGTTTTTGACAGCATAAGGTAGAGATACACAGATGGAGTTGTTACTATATCTAAAATGTTTCGGAATATATTATTCATAACAAATATTATTTAATAATTGTTCAAATTTTTTTTTTAGTACTGTGTACTTACTAGTGATGTGCCAAGTCGAATCAAGTGATTCGAATCATTCGAATCAAGCCTTTAACGACTTGATTCGAATCAGATTTTACTTGATTCGAATCAACTCGCATCAAGCCGCGAAATATTTACTGTGATAAAATATGTATTAACACAAATTTTTCATAAATATAAAATTTTTCATAAATATAAATATAAAAAAAATGTATTAATTCAATTCAATATTATAATAATATAAAAAATAAATATCATAAATATAAAAAATAAACAATGAATTAAATCATGCGAGCCACCCGACTTTAATATGCTTAAATGTATCAGCCGACTCCAATCGTCTTTATATAACTTTAACCGCATTCATCGACTAACTATATCATCCGACTTCATATGACTCAAACCGAATCAAACGGCGATATGAGTTGTTCCGACTTATTATGAGCCAACTCGAATCAAGCGGCGTTATGAGTTGTTCCGACTTCATGAGCCAAACCGAATCAAGCGGCGTTACGAGTTATTCCGACTTCAATTCTGATTCGAATCATCCCGACTTCAAGCCGTTCGAGCGATATGAGTTAACCGTATGGGCGATACAGTGCGTCGTCGTTCTTGCGTGTTTATTTATTTTACGGAGCGCTGAGAGCGATTTTGTTCGTGAAATATCAATACACAATTTTGATAATAATTAAGTGTTTTAGATTTTAAATGTTATCAGAATAAACCACTCGAAATTATGAAACGAGTTTCGGGAATCTTTCAATATAATTCTCTTTGGAAACAATTACTAAATACCAGAAAGTTAGTAAATAATATGTTAACTTCTGATTATGTAAGTAATGGCAAATTCACATTAATGAAATTAACTTTCAGCTCTCAGTTTAGATGCGATCCTTTACTGATTACATAGTAAAATAAACAATCGACCCATGATTCCAAATATTGTTTTATATGCTTTAGTGATGCACAATTGTTTGGTAATCTATTATTGTAAATTAATTTGAAGATATTTTTCAGCCGTTCTCAAAATTATATCATTTTTAATAATTTTCAGAATATACTTTTTGATAGTAATTTATGTTTACAATTTTTACTTTGTCGGTTATATTGGTTAAACTGACAATTTTGATTATAAATTTGGATCACTTTTACTAAATTAATACATCCATGATTTTTTTCGTCCATATATTAGGTTGTCAAATATCTCCCTTCCGCCTTTTTGTATTATAAACCAAGAGCAAAAAAGCGGAAGGGAGATATTTGACAACCTAATATATATACTTGATTCGAGTTGATTCGAATCATGATTCGAATCAGGTTTTTTTCTGATTCGAATCATTCGAATCGGGAATTTTTCGAGTCGGCACATCACTAGTACTTACAGTGACTAATTTCCAATGAAAAGGTTTTCTGTTCCATCCAAAATATTAAGCCTCTTATTTGTGAACTCTTCTGCAAATTCAGTGCTACTCTGACATACAAATATTTCGTATAACGACCCGCTGAAAGAGTGATTCATTGCTTTGAGATACGAGCTTTGAGCCAGTATAATTTTATTTTAAAAAATGTGAAAATCAAGATAAAAATATGAAAAATTTGGTTCATTGTAACAATGATTTTTCAACCGAAATATTTTAGCTGTTTTATCATAGTAAATTATTTTATTGTTAGTAATTTACATTAACAATAATAGTACAGTTATATGTATGCAAAGCCCGCGATTTTTGCTTTTTGATCATTTAGAAAATATTTACTTTTATAACTATAGTTGTTTGTTTCTTGAATTAAAGCATGAAATGATTGAAAGATGAGTACAAGATTTACAATAATTCTTAAGCAGTTTTTTGAGCCCGAAAGTTTGTTGATAAAAACCATGAAAAGTTTCAAGTAAAAATTACCTCGAAAGTGACAACTTTTTGAGCATAAGAGTTGTTCGATGAAATATGTTTAAATTATTTTTGCAACATCGTGAATGGACAGGAAAAACTGTCTTATCCCTATAATAAAATTAATTAATAATAAATTTATTTTTGATACTCAAAATCTTAACAAAAACCAGTGTTGGAACGAATTAATTATATAGTAAAAATTGCTTTGAGATACATTAGTGATCGACATGTTCGATATTTATGAGTGTGGTTACGGGACGTATGTCGGGGTACTGTGGCATTATTAAATGTGATGTATTTTCTATTAAGTAACTTGACTTTATGAGCAGTTTATCAAAACTACTAACAAAACATGCATTTTTTTTTTTGGCGTAACATAGAAATAAATTTCTCATTTCAATATGGTAACATTAAATTTTATTTCATGTAGTGTCTTAACAGTTTATTTCTACACATTTTAAATTTTTATTTAAAACTTCATTTTGTTTTAGAGCTGGAGATCGAGATATGGGCAGAAGAGATAATGATCGTGAAAATCGAGATTCTAGTAGATTTGAACGCAGGGAAGACAGATATCAACCTAGAAATAGAGATGAGCGGGATAGACGTGGCCCAGAAGAAGGGTAAGAGTAATTTTTTTAATACGTATTTCACCAAGAAAACAATATTTATTTACCATTCATTTACACCATGCATATGGCCATACAACACTTAATGGATTATTGACTCTGTATAATCCACATAATTATACTAATAATCCGTTCAGACCGTCAAAATTAATGTCCTTAATGTCTTTGATTAGGTAAAAACATATTTTAGTAAATTGTGTATGGATTGTGTAACTGATTTAGTGTTAAGAAAATAATTGATTGAAATAATAATTGAAGCTATTACATAAGCGACTTAGTAATCTAGGCATACCAAAAAATTAAGACTTCTTTCTATTTATATCAAGTGGTCGGTTTGAACGGGACTCTGAACGAAGATTTGAACGAAGAGACGATCGAATGAAACGAGATCATGATCGCGATAGAGAAACTGGCGGTGGTGGTGGCGGCCGAGATTGGAGAATGGATCGCGAAAATGAACGAGGAGCCAATAATAAAAATGATGACGATGCCAGGCCCATGAGACGAATACCAGTAAGTTCAGACAATTTGAAGTTGGTGAAATAACTTTTTTATAAGTACTGTTGCAATCATTCTAATATTAATTTAAAATTTATATGATATGACCTGAGGATTATCTTTCCTAATTTTTGTACAAATTAAACGAAATAATTTTAGGATCGAGATAGACTTGGTCCATCATTGCGCAATGAACGAGACCGTCCTCCAGCAAGAACTGATGGCGGTGATTGGAGATCCGCCACAAAATCACAGGAAATGCCAAAAAGAACTGATGGTCCTCCGCTTAGGTCAAATGCAAGGAATGAAAAAGGTATTAAGTCAGTAAATTAATAAAAGTTGATTTTATTAATTGCTAATTTCATTTTTAGCAAATGACAATACACAGTCTTCTGATGGTGATGAATGGCAGGCCGTCAAGCGTAGATAAATTGGTACCAAATCTAACATTGCATAATAATACCTGTTGCTAGAATTTAGTAATAGGTATTTATAAAATTAATGCCATTTTGAATGCAGGACCTACTTTTTGGAATTATTCCATGTAAATTTGGCAGTATATTTGAATTAACTAATTATTGATACAGACGTATAGAAAATTTCTTACAATATAATCACATGCCTTACTTTCTTAATTTGCATATATTACCTGTAAATGGATTTTATTACTCAATTAAATAACAGAATTTCATTGAATATATTAAACAAAATTATGGGGATGTTTATCAACTTTGTACATTATAATTATGATAATTCTATCTACACTATGTGAAATGTTTTGTAATTATTCTTAAAATTGACATGTACATTTATATAAATAATCTATGAAATTAGTTTACCATATACGTTATTTTCTTTTTGGTTGTTGTAATTTCTATAATAATTAACAATTTGCCAACTTTTTTTGTGTTACCAAGACACATTTCTAATATATTATGTAAGTTCTAATTTTTATTATAATGTAGTATTGTATTTACTGATGTAGTGTAATGGTTTAAATAAAATGTTCTTGCTAATTTTTTTTTTTTTTTTTTTTTGTATGCACTGGTAAGGCTAATATCAAGTACATAATACTTGAACAATTGCTTATTTCTGTTCTAGGCTCTCCAATGCAATAAATACAGAAAGAGATCTTTTTAACTCACGGGCCAATTCAAATTTTAAAATTTTATGGTGGGCCACATGTAAAACAGAGTTTGTCTGGATTGGGTGTGTGACATATGTTTTCCAATGTACCTTTTACCGCTGAAGATAAATATAGTCTATACATTTTTCTAAATGAATTATTTTCCATCGACTTTTCTTTTGTGGACCTGTGTAATTGTTCGCGCGCATACTTACTTCCAAATTTATCATAATTTTCTTTGCGTTTTTTTTTCAAAAATAAAAATTTCTTAGAGCTGACATGAGTTTTTCAAAAAATTTCGATGTTTATTGAAAAAGAACATTTTTTTAATCTGTATTATTTTGAATGCAGATCACTTTCTGTGATGGTTTTTCATAAAGTGTACCTACATCGATGTTAAATGGAAAAGAAAACAGCTGTCTTGCTAGCTTTGAACATTTGGAATCACAATTAAAATTTGTTCACATTTTCTTTTTCTAAATATGGAAAGTGAAACAAGATTCTGCAGAAGATATTATTCTTCATTACCAAAATGACGAAAGTACTACAATCATCTCTATATATACGCTCTAAATTGTTCAGGAATACTTTAAATTTACGGTGATTTAACCCTCGCGACTTTATAAAACATACTTATTTATTTCAAATTTGGAAATGCGTTATGGCTATGTTCTCGGACAAGTTCTCAATTTTTCTAGCAATATTGTTAAGTTAATATTTAAATTAATATTTATTTTATCAGGAAATTCTATTTCTGCGAACAACAGTTTTTACCAGTATTTGACAGACAATCAGAATTAGCCTTTACAGCCGTATGTGATAAAATATCTAGAAAAATAATCTGTAGTTGAGAACGCTAGACGGGCCGCAGAAAAACATCTTCATTAAATTTTTTAACATTTGAGAAGAAACGGCCTGGCAAATCTCAATGCGAGTATCATTGTACGACTTTTAGATCTTTGAAATCAGTTCAGTTTTTTCTTTAGAAAACGTAGACGAAAGCTCAAACTTCGGCTTTTTTTTCAATTTAAGTAAACGATTCAGAATCACTTGAAACGTCGAGCAAGCAATTCGGATTTTCTGGCAAAACATAAATTTCTCCTATGAAAGATGCCATGCTTCAAAATATAACAAACAAGTGCTGAGATGAGAGAAATAAATATCTAACAATAAATTATAATGCAGATAAGAATTCAAAATCATTATTAGCGCGCTTTTTTCAAATTCAAGAACATGATTAGCGCTCGCTCAGTATCGTCCTGTATTATTAATGTATGTTGACTATCTATGGTATGAGTTACGAAATGTCAAAAGAAATTTTCAGCTGGCGACGACTGTAAAAAATAAAAGTTGCTTTTAGCGTTAATAAAATTGTGTTGTGATTATATTTAATAATAGTTTGTTGATAGGTATACCTTGGAATTTTGTTATATTAAATATTTGTGTTTGTTTATCAAGTTGCAACATAAAATCAAAACTTTAAAGATCAAATTTTTTTGCAGTTAATTTTAGATTATTATAAATATAAAAGAGTATGATAACTTTAACCAGAAAACTGAAGAAAGAGAGTACACAGAGAAATGAGCCTTCTTCAACCACAAATGATTATTCCACGGGTTCTTCTTCCCTTTCCACGACAAAAAGAATTTCAATAAGGGATCAACTTTTAGTTAAAGATATACAAGAAATGGAGCAAAACATGCCTTGTACATGCCGTGTTGAATTTAGTGGTAAAAATTACATTTTCTAATTTAAATATAATCGAATTATAATTCAAAATATAAAAGACTTATGCATTCTGCTATGATAATTGAAATTTGTAATCTCATTAAAAGTTGTGTTCATTTTATTTAACATAAGTGTTTTTTTATCATTTTTAGATCCAGACATATTAAGTGAATTTACCCTCACAGTGTGCCCCGATGAAGGATTTTGGCAAGGTGGAAAATTTAGATTTGATGTTGTCGTTACAGAGGAATATAATATAGCTGTAGGTTTTCATCCAAAGTTGTGTTTTAATATGTGTGAGCGGTATTAATATGAGTTTTTCTAAATGTTAAATATTTAGCCTCCTATAGTTAAATGTGCAACAAAGCTTTGGCATCCAAATATAACTGTTGAAGGTGATGTTTGTTTATCCCTGCTCCGACAAAATTCAATTGATGGATTAGGTTGGGCACCAACACGAACACTCAAAGATGTAATATGGGGCCTAAATTCACTATTTACGGTAATTTTGTTTATATATTAAGTAATATAAAATTTATATATGTATTAATTTATTTTAAATGTTTCAATATTTTTATATTTGAATGGTTTTAATAGATTTATTTATGTAAACATATATAATTCTGAATTTGATGTTGACATATGTATTAACAAACTTTAATAATTGGGCATATCATTAATAAAACATAATTTTTTTTTATTTAGGTATTGGCTATAATCCTAGCCTTCATTAAGTAGAAACTAAAAATTGCGTTCAACAAACATCATATATCTAGATAGTATATCCCAATTTTTTACAGAACAATAAAAAATGTGCAAAAAATCACTATTAGTTCCGCACATGTTAGAATCTTGGTAAAAATATCTTTTTTATAAATCCTTTCTTCATTATGTCTCCAACTAGTTTACAGATAACACATATATTGCGCACTTAATCTTTTGTTATAATTTAATGTTAGCATAATTGTGAAATATTGTTATAATAACAAGTTGGCAATGTTTATATTACATAGTGTAGCACATTACCATATCCTCATATCATGGATTATTGAATTTTCTGTAGCTGTTAGCAAACTCTTTTAATTTTTCAACGTCAATTAGTTTAATATATTTTTAGTTTCTACTTTCTACTGAATTAAAGTAAGGATTATAGCCTAAACATATAGATTGTAAAAGAAATGTATGTTTTTTATTGATATTATTGTTCCCGATTATTAGACTTATTTAATATACACGCACATACACACACATGCAATTATATATATATATATATATATATATATATATATATACTGTAATGTTTTGTAGTTTTGAAAACTCATATTCTGGTAAACAACTATTTTTATTTACTTTACTAGGATCTCTTAAATTTTGAAGATCCTCTTAATACCGATGCAGCAAAAATGTATAGCAAGGACAAAAATGAATTTGAAAATAAAGTGAGGGATTACTTAAATCGTTTTGCTAGAAGATAATATTTCACTTCACTTATGGTTTTAAGATTGTTTATCATATTCATAAGAGAAAGGTGTGAACAACTGAAATAAGGCAAGACATAAACATGGATGTGACATTCATTATATTAACATTTCTGTAACTAAAGATAATGTGATTTTATCATGGGAATGTAGCGATGATTTTATAAGTATTTGTAAAAGCTAAGTGTTTGTAAAATGTTGATCTCTATATGAGATTAAAATAAAGATTAAAGTCAGAATTACTTAGTAAATCTAATTATTGATGTTATGAATGTCATTTATATATATATATATATATATATATATATATATATATATTTAAAATGAGTGTGTTGAGTCAGGCAATATCACCATATGTTTCAGTCTTCATCGAGACCGTAATTCAGTGGAAAACTAAAAAGTTTTTTTATAATCAATTTAAAAAAGAAAATTGATTCAACATATTGCACTTAAAGATAGGTACTTACGGTTAAAAGCAATTTAACACTACACTGCACAAATTTACGCAATTGTAACGTAACACCAAGATATCAGTAGTTCAAACTAATTATGAATTAGAGTTAGAAAACTAAATTTGTGTATGTAGTTGTCGAAGTTTAAGCGTTGAATGAATTGTGTTTAGAAAGATTTTTTTTTAATGTGCAAACTTTTAAAAACATATGGTTTCGGAAAGTAATAAAAAAGGGACACGCTTCATTCAGTAATAATATTGTTTGAAAAATAGTCGAGGAATATCTTGTAATCATTACAGATCGAACAGATGTCAACTCTCTTGTTGATTGCTTTATTGTTTAACAATATTAGACAACCTTCACTAAATCTTCTTTTAAATATATTAGTTTTAAAATGTAATATACTCGGATTTAGAAAATCAATGTTATGCTGAAAGTTATTTATGTGTTCTGTGAGGATTGTTTTATTCTGATTCTTATTTTTTGAATTATTTCTGTGTTGAGATATTCTTTTGTATTGATTTTGGCTAGTTTCGCCAATGTAAAACCCTTGGCAATTTAGACAATTTATATTTTATATTCATATAATTTTAGATGATGGCGCAAGATAATATGTCGAAAAGTATGGAAATAATATAGATTTGTAAATCTCTACAAATTTTAATTAATGTATTGCCCTGAAGATTGTGTCTCATTATAAAAAGTTTTGTCAGACATGCATCCCATTATTATTTAAAGAAAAACAATGATAAGCTTAAAACATTTCATCAATTTAAATTAATTTAATAATTAACTGGCGTTCATTTTGACTCATAGTGTGAATAACACATATCTTAATTTTTAACATAACAAAAATAAGTATGAAATTTGAAATAAAAATTATAGAATTTGAAATTAAAATTGGACAAATAAAACCTAAAAACTGAAAAAAATTATATATATATATATACTCTTCTTTTATCTATGTATATATACTTTCCACACAAATAATTTAAATAGGGTAATATAAGATTTTTAACTTAACAGAAGAAGTTTATGCTTTCGCCAGAGTATCCGATTTGCTAATTTTGTTTTTTCGACGTTTCAGCTCATTCTGAGTTGTTTACAACCGAAAACGTCACGGTCGATCTTTACCAAAAACTAATCAGCATGATTCCCAACTTATATATTTAACAATTTTTATTGTTTTAAAATTGGAGAATTATTAATGAAAGCGCACACGAAAGCATTCCCAGTTTTCTGCAAATATTAAAAAAACAACTCAGCCGATCATTTCGAAAAACTATCCAACGCGAGGCTTTATCGAGTCTCATCGAACTGCTTTAAATTTTTAAAATCACCTGAGCCGTTTTTGATATAACGCATAAAAAAGGTCAAATTTTGGTTTACATCAATAAATAAACATATTTACCATACGTCTGTCATTTATTAATTACTAAAAAGAAAAAAAATGATGTATGCTTGTGTATGTATGTATGTAGTCGACGAGTTTGGGAGAACGGATTTGAATTATTCAAAAAACATTCGATTCTTATTGGCGAAAATTATAAAATAATGAAATTTTATAACACAAACTTAAGCAAACGTGATTTTATATCCTAATAAGGATTAATTATAGCAAATGAATTGTGCTTATATCACTAATTGTAAGTGCTAATTATAATGATTAACGCTTTTAAGTGATTGGAAAATGAATTGAAAAATTTATTTTCCCATTATTATCAAATGGTGTAAATACATAAATATTTGATAATTGGCGTTTTAATTTTGGCCAAAAAGAAGTCTGAAAAGGACGCACCCACAAGATTTTTGATATTTCTGAAAAAATGTGAAGGCAGTTTCATATTAGTTATTTTTACTATGCTTATTATTGCAACTCTTTGTTAATCATCGTAATATTAATTATTTATCTGAAGGTAGAAGTAATTTATGTAATACGTTCTTTATTGTCATTATATGTTTACTAGATGTCCAATAAGGATGGTTGTAAATGATATAACGAATAAAAACTACGTTCAATTCAACTATTTAACATTTGATTTGGTTCTTTTGTCCGACTTAATACATTTATCCGTTCTCTTGTTATGGCGGCTCACCGCGTATGTCAGGCTAGTATTAAACTCCGATTTAAATACGAGAATATCCATTTCAAGCCTCGAAAACAAGAGGTTTAGTTTTGTGAGTGCAATTTAAAATAGAATATAAATGGAATCGCATGCGAATTGTCACTGAATTTTTGGCAATACGGATTTGCATAGCAGATTATTTTGCCTAGGGCAGAGTCTAAAGTTTATATGTAAACGAAGGCATGCTTAGGGGGCGTCCATTAATCACGTGAGCTAGTTTTTAAGATTTTTTGACCCCCCCTCCCCTTGGTGATACGTGGTGATATTCAAATTACCCCACCAAACATCACGTGTTTTTTAGTTAAGTGAAAAAACTAAATTTTTGATTATTTTTTAAAAATGTTAGATTTTTTTAAAAAAAAATCAGTTAAAAAATAAATACACGTGATATCTTACCATCCCCCCCCCCTCCTCCACGTGATATTTCGTGATTTTTTGTCAAACCCGCCCTCCCCCTAAAAACCTCACGTGATTAATGGACGCCCCCTAATCATGAATATTTGCTGGTATGCAAATCTGAGACAGATATCAGAATTACTATGAAGTTTAAAATTTGAAAATTACATAATTTGTCAATTTTAAGGATTTCATGCATTTAGTTTACATAGTTTATACAAATGAAAAGAAATAAGTAAATGTTTCACTCCAAAATCCCACTACATTTAAAACCGCTGAAAACTTTCACAAGCAACAGAACTTAGTTCAATAAAAAAAAACGCTTTACACATATCGTCAAATAATAAAATGAATTTGACAATTCTTCATTTATATGTTTTGGCCTTGCTATGTGTAATCATTCAGTAAATCAAATC